GCTTGAGAAATGCTGACCGTGTTCTTCCCTTTTGGTTTTCTAACTTTGAGTCTTTGCATATTTTATTATAGTATTTGGCTTTATCTTCTCGAGCTGATCTTTTGAAATTTTCTGTTCAGCTCTTGGACCTCTTCAATTTTTCCATTTGCTTTAGCTTCTCTACACTATATAGATATGGATATAGATCTATGGATATAGATCATACAATAAATGGGGGTCAAGAATGGCACATAGGTTTTTGGCCTGAATAGTTTTTGTCATTTACTGAGGTAGGAAGCTGATTTGAAGTCAAAGGTTAGGGAATTAAGAGGCCATGTTAATGGGCTACATGGGACAGAGATAAATAGTGATGCATGCTCAACCTTGGAACAACAGGGCTCTGTGAGTCAGAGATTGAGGCATAGTTTGAATGGGTAAAAGAGGGGAAATAATGTTAAGATGTTTGACTGCCTTATAAATCTTGGTTTCCCTTGCCTACTATTGTAAAATAGACACTTGAGGGGGACAGAAAGGAATAGCCAAGAAACATCACTCTAGAAAGTTTGTAAATCCCTCTTCAGCCTATAACTAATTGGAATACCTAAAATGGGGCTAGAACTTGCCCAATGAAAGAGGCTTCCTGTGGAGCCTTTGTAGTTTGTAAGACCTTAGGTAGAATCCTGATCCCCATCCAGAATCTTCTGATGTGGGAAACTTCCACTTGAAAAGATAAGCAGACCAGCCTGGAGCAGCTAAAGAAACAGAAGATACTTCTTGAAAGTAAGACCAGCAGGAAAAATCAAAACCAAAAAATTAATCTGATTGACTACTACAATAACAAGAAAATTGTTTGCTGGGGACCCATCAAGGCAAGCAATCAAGTCCCCTCAGGGCAAAACCCCTTCCAAGACTGAAACTCAACGGGAATACACGAGCAGGCATGTGGTCTTGCTGGTGACCAGGTTGGTCTACCAGTACGGGGAAATGGGGGAAAAACAGTAATGAAGCTAAGTCTGACAATGTTCAACAGACTCCTGTCAACCTGGATTGAGACCTGGTTGGCCAGCAGTATGACGAGACCTGGGGACTCGTGAACCATGGACAGAGAAATAGCTACAGAGGACTAGAGCGGAGAGTGAAGTGTCCAGCTGATATGAACTGAGGGGAGATGCACAAGAATGCCTGAACTTAAAGATAGTACCCATTTAACCTAGCTTCAATGGCTGGGTGATCAGAACTCGACTAGAGGAAGAAAGAAGAGGAAAGAAAGTATAATCCACTACAACTTGATGAGCTTGACCTACACTTATGGATATAATAGCTTAAAAGAGGGAATAAATATTTACAACAATGATCATTCTCCACCCCACTCCCACCCCCGAACACAGGGTTCACCGGGATGGGCAATTTAGACCTTGGCTACCCAAAATGGTGAGGCTATAAAGGCATGAAGTGACTGGCTTACAAGTTTTCAAGGGGGAGCTTGGTTTCAGAGGGTGTGGGGGAAGGTAGAATCTCCACTGAGTGGTTTCCAACCTGAGGTTGGTGAAAGGAGATGGGGTAAGACTCTTGTGGTTCAATAGTGAATAATTGCTATCAGAACTAATTGCGATTGGTGCAAATCTAAGGAAGACATTTTGTAACAAAAGGAGGGGAGTGGTTGATCTTGCAATTCAGGAGTGGAGTACCCTGAGTCCATCAAGGGAGAAGAGCAGAATACGGGGGCCCTATCCAGAGAAGCAGTGATGCCAGAGATGGAGGCAGAGATGATGACGTGAAGAGATGGAGTGGCTGGGGACTTATGGAGGGAGAGGGGCTGTGTGTGCTGGTGGCTGGGGTGGAGGTGGGGGGCAGGTTTGCAGGGTATACCCTTTGGTTGTTTAAATTGTTATATATTCCTGAGTGCTTCGGTGTATATCCAAAACAAAAACGCAGAGGGAATGGAAGCAAATGCTGTTGAATGATGATGCATGGAGGGGATTGTAGCCATTGCAATGACACAAGATACGATAGGATGACTGTCTGTAAAGCTGATGTTCTTCCATGTAAAGTATCACTTAATTCACAATAAAAACTTTTTTTAAAAATGACGACTGTTAGGTACCTAGATGAAGATGGCTGCCTGTACAGGTGGAAATGCTAGTTTCTGAAGGTACAGGTAGAAGTCAGGGTAGACATATCTACATGTGTACTCTGAAGTGAAAGAGTTTTAGGAATGCCTGGTATTCCTAAAGATGTTCTGCTAAAAGGAACCAAAGTAGAAATAGTTCAGTCTGGAAATCATTAGGGATAGCTAGGGTATCTTACTGATTGGTTCAGAAAATGTGTAAATGTCATCTAATGGATTATAACTTTTTGAATTGCTGGTATAGTTACCTGATTTGTAGTACAAAAGGAATTAATGTGCAGTGATGAAGATACTCCCTTCCTTGGCTCTCTGCCTTGGTTCCTCTTCTTGACACTTAGCCATGTCTGCTTCCAGAGATAGTTTATTGATCTGTTTCTTTTAAAATTGAAAAATTATAATAGGATTTTCCAAAAATCCTTACTGCAACTAATCTCTATATAAAAGCAATTCCCAAAAAACAAGCAACTAAGAGTGTCTGTTTTAATACTAATTTTATAATGTTGAGTTGTATCTTTTAGAGTTTTCATAAAGAAATACGTATATTTAACAAGGCTCCTTTTTCTTTGTCTTCACAGCTGAATTAGCAACTTTAATGGATAAGACATATGAGAGAAAGTTGCCTGTTAGTTCTCTGACCATATCACGGGTAAGAAAATGTAAAAATACTTTTTTTTAAAAAAAAAAAAAAAAAAAAGGAAGAAGTCTCTTTATATAAGGGGACTTCAGAAAGTTCATGAGAAGCTTTCATTATCTTTCAATTCCATTTTTCATGAACTTTTTGAAGGTCATTGTATAGGTGAGACTGAGTAAATAAACAATACCCTTCATAGATAGTATTTCTCCAGATTATGGTACTTTTTTGTAGTTATTAGTAGATATTTTGTGGTAAGGTAGCAAATTTCTTTGGCTGAATTAAAATGTAATTTTAATTCGTTTACCAGACTCTGATGTCAGTAGTCACTGTTCTATCTAATTTATATTAATATTTTTCCAGGATAGGATATTCTGCTCTGTTACACCATAATTTTTTAAAAAACAGTTGATACATTATTCAAATTAATACTATTTGCTTGTTAATATATTAGAAATGTTTTTGTTAGCTGAGAGTGTCTGTAACGAATGGTTGTTAATGTTAAAGTGCTGTAGAATGATAGAGGGAAGATTAATATTGACTAAGAATCAGGAATGGTAATTGATAGTAACCATTTTTTATTGCCTTCTATACCAACTCTCCAAATCCTGTTGTGGCACTGTAGGTTAATGCGCCGAACAGCAAGGTCGGTGGTTCCAACTCACCAGCCACTCCTTGGAAACCCGATACAGGGTTGCTATGAGTCAGAACCGACTCAACGGCACTTAATAACAGTAACACCGCCAACAACTATTCACCACTCATCTGTCAATTCTGATCTTCCTGCCTTTTGCTATTATACTTTACTTTTAATAAGAGAACATTTAACTAAGTCTTAACTCTAGTTTTATTCTCAGATTGAAGAGAACCTGAAATGCCACTGGTTCATTCCTCACATGACAGATAAAGCTTTCTATGCCATAATGCCTGGTACTTGTTTAGAGAGTGTGCCAAGGTGTAAAGACCTGTCATATCCGAGCATATTTTCTCATTAGAACCTCGTACTCTTCAGAGCAGGTACTTTTATCCTGTTTATGCAGATGAGGAAATTAAGTCCCAGGCAGCGATGCCATCAGTTTGTCTCATTTATAAAGCAATCAGGAGAGCTGGTTTCCAATCTCATGTCCTGAGATTGAATCACATTTTATCTGTTCCGTAATAGGAGAAGAAAAGTATTCTAAATTAAATCAATAAGTCCCCAGTTTTAGTCTCCTCTCCCTCTGCATGAGGTTTTAATTTTATTAACTATGTGCATCATCTCCTACCTGATCTCTTTTGCTTCTGAGTCTCTAGTTCAGATTAGATTCCATCCTTGGAATAGTCCTTTCTGTTTATTTATTTGGTCAGTAGATAGGTAAAGAATATTCTCAGGAATTTTGTGACTTGACAGGAGACATTCTTGGTAAGGCAGTCACAGATTGATTGGTCCGTTGTTGTTGTTGTTGTTAAGTGCTGTTGAGTCAGTCCCACTCATACCAACCCTGTATAGGCTTTCCAGAGAGCGGCTGGTGAGTTTGAACCACCAACCTCATGATTTAGCAAACTTTAAATCAGAGTAGGAAAAATGATCACCAGATTGAATTCTTAGATGAAATTTTGAATTTTCATTTGCTGACCATATTCTTTCAGACATCACGAGTCTTCATCCTTCCAGCCATTGTGTTTCCATGTATTTGAGCTTGGAATGGAGAGATAGTATCAGGGTTAAAAGATGAACGGAAATGCTGATGACTTGTAAATATAGCAAGAGGCTTTCTCTTATCCTGAGCAAGGTTCTTACTGGCTTTCAACCAGTTTTTGTGATCATAGCTGTTTTATATTCTGTTTGCATTAACATAAAAGGATTTTCAGGATGGAGCCACAATACATGAACAGTGTGACCCCTAAGCATGAACATTGTTCCAATAACATGGCTATTTTCTCTTTTTTAAGTTGAGTGTGTAAACCACGTCTAATATATGGCATAACTGGTACTCAACCAAGGGTTTCTTTTTCTCTCTTTTAGTTTGTTGACAACATTTCATCTCGAGAAGAGATAGACCATGCAGAGTATTACCTTTACAAGTAAGTTTTGTATGTCATGTAGCTGTCTACTCATAATACGGATTTTTGCAAAGTTATCTTCACCTTACCTAGCTTAAATCTTGAGGGCTAAACATAAGAAGCTTCTGTTTTTCCCTGCTCTTTTACTTTTTGGTTCCATTCCGTTTTGATATGTAATGTTTCAAAAGAAAGGCCAGCCAGAATAGTGTTTCCTCTAGTCAGAGACCACAACTTTGTCTCTGCTTTTTTGTGTGTGTCTCCTGGTTGTCCAGTACACGTACTATTCTTTCACAATTATTGACTTGGAAATCAAGAGACATGTTTTCCAAGGCTTTTCTCTTGTCATTCATTCTACTTCTTGGCCACATTTTCCTTATCCATAGAATGATTTCTAAGAATCATTTAAGTTCAATATATATACATACATATATATTTTTTTAATTTCTAAGAAATATCTCAGTCCTTGTGTTGTTGGGCCTTCCATTGTTTGTTTCTTCCCTTTTGAAGCTTCTCATTGGTATTCTACTTTTAGTAGACTTTTACTGTCCATTTTTGATAAATACCCTTTTATACTGTCTTTAAGGAGCTCTGGTAGCGTAGTGGTTACAAATCGGGCTGCTAATCTCATGGTTAGCAGTTCAAAACTACCAGCTGTTCTGCGGGAGAAAGATGAGCTCCCGTAAAGATTTACAGCCTCGGAAACCCTTTAGAGGGTTGCTATGAGTCGGAACCGACTTCACGCTACATAACAAAAGCATAACGACAACAGCATATAAGATAAAGATAACATTTATCTTTCAGCCTCTGTTTCTTTGCCATAAAATGAAACTTAAAATATTAAATATATGTGTTCTCCTATCAGTAATGCATTAATGCTGCTATTCTTAATGTTGTTGTTAAGTGGCACCAAGTTGGTTCTGACTCATAGTGACCCTATGTGGGGTTTTTGTGGCGCAAGCAGCTGGTGGGTGTGAACTTCCGACCTTGTGGTTAGCAGCCAAGTGCTTACCCTACAGCACCATACCAGAGAGTGATTAGCTATTGATTAATTAGAACTGTGCATAAAATTCAGGTATAAATTATGATTTAATTTTCTTGACTCGTTGCTATTGTTGTTAAGGGTTTCCGAGAAGCAGCTGGTGAGTTTGAACCACTGACCTTGCAGTTCAAATAGACCTTGCATTCCAGTGCTTATCCTATAGCGCCACACCAGGACTCTTTTTCTTTAATGTTGTTGTTGCTGTTAAGTGCTGTCGAGTTGATTCTGACCCATAGTGACCCTGTATAGGGTTCCTAGGAGCAACTGGTGAGCTTGAACTGCCAACATTGTGTTTCAAACCGACTTTGCAGTCCAGCACATTAACCCATAGCACCACATCAGGACTCTTTCTTGAATACTCTACTTTTATTAATATTATTAATGTTCCTAACTTTTAGCTAATACAAGTAATTTTTTCATATATTTTAGCTTGTACTGCTAATGTAAATTTAAATTAACAAATATTCTTTATTAGAACTATAATGTAAACAGAATTTTACTCGTATTTGTTATCAGTCTTTGATGAGTAGGCTAAGTTTTTGAATCAAGGATCCTTAAATTAGTTATGTTTGTTCTAGCACAATTCCACTGTTTCTTCTCCAAATACATTTGTTGTTGTTGTTAAATGCTGTCAAGTCAGTTTCAACTCATAGCAACACTGTATAGGGTTTCCGAGGAGCAGCTAGTGGGTTTGAACCACCAACCTTGTGTTGCCAGTTCAGTGCTCATCCTACAGTGTCACATTAGGACCTATTAGTAATGGATTATCTATTGAGAGTAAGAAAGAATATGGAAAAAATAATTTCCATCTTTCTTTTTCCCTGAAAATTGTCTAATTTACTGATGATAGTGAATGCAGTGGCTGAATTTTCAGGTCTCTTATATGGAGACCATTTATATGATATTGTCTATATGTTTTGGCTAGAATTAATTGATAGTAATGGTAGGTTAGGTAAGGAATCAGTGCTCTAGTATACCATATTATGGCATCATCTGTTACCCCAGCTAGTTATTCAATTCATTCAATAGGTACTTTTTGGCTTCTTACTCTCTAATTATGAATCTAAGAGATCCACTTTTTTTTTTTTTTTTAATTTAATTAGCAATAAAATCTAGCAGTGCTGTTTTTTATGAAGTCCTGGTGTGGCGCTACGGGTTAATGCACTGGGCTGCAAGGTCAGTTTGAACTGCAGAGTTGGCAGTTCAAGCTCACCAGCTATTCTTTGGAAACCCGATACAGGATTGCTATGAGTCAGCACCAACTGGATGGCACTTAACAACAACAACATTATGTGTTTACTTAAGCCTATTTCAATGACAGGCTTGTGCATGCTGATGTCTTCTTTTATAAAGGAGCTCTGATAGCGTAGTGGTTACAAATGGATCTGCGAACCGTAGGTCAGGAGTTTGAAACTACCAGCTGTTCCACAGGACAAAGATGAGACTTTCTGCTCCTGTAAAAATTTACAGCCTCAGAAACCCTGTACAGGGTTGCTATAAGTCGAAAACGACTCCACGGCACATAACCACCACCACCATACAAGTATATGGGAAAGATTTTCAACAGTAAAGAAAAAGTTCTGTTGAAAAGACCAGAGTTACTCTTTCCCATCCCTTAATTCCCAGCCCCATTTAAAATCATTTTAATTTTTTTGTTGTTCTTCTTTTCATGATTACCACTATGAATCTTGACACTATACATAGAGCTTTCTCTGATGAAATATATCTGTTAGGTCTTTATGCAAGATCTGTTGCTTCCTTGCTGTAAAAAATGGATTTTCTGCACATAAAATTTAGGTTCTATTTAAATTGTTTTGTACTGAAAAGGGAATACATATGCAAAGTAGGAAAATTTCAAACCGTACAAAGAAGTATGAAAAATAGGTCCTTTTTTTAAAAAGTCTTATTCCTAGAATTGCTTACCCCACTCTGAAGAAAACAACCGGTTCTAGATTATTCTCATGCATATATGTTTTTAAAATTAAGTTTTTGAACACTTGTTGTTTCTAAGTGCTATTGAGTTGGTTCCAACTAAAAGTGACCCTGTATAGAATTTCTGAGGCTGTAAGTCTTTGTGGGTGCAGAAAGCCTCATCTTTCTCCCACAGAGCGGCTGGTGGGCACCAACCATTGACGTTCATAGTTATGATGAAAATTGGAAGTGAGACGTTGAAACCTTTCCTTTCACTGCTATCCCCCATATTGTGGAGTTCTCAGCAGTCCTCCTCAGGTCACCACTGTCAGTGTTTTCTTGTTTCCCTCCCCTTTTTGAAGCATAAAAGGCCTTCGTGTTCCATTCCTTGCTTTTTTTAAGTTTGTGTGGCCACCTCAGTTGCTGCTGTTTGTTTTTAAGAACCATGATCTTAGCTTTTCCTACTACAATAGAATTCCTGTAGGACGTGTTTGCTTGAGGCCAATATTATTTCATGGTGAACAATGGGAGCTTATATCTGGTTTTCCCTTTTCACTGTGGAGAGTATCTTTTTGCTGGCTTATTTAGTCATTAGTTCCCAGCGCGGAACTCTCCAAGTCAGGGATTGCTGCACACATGCAGACGAATGTGCCTCTGAGGCAACTCTGTGTCTCCATTTTGGGGAGATAAAGCTGCATGTCGCCAGTAAAATTGTGGCATCCCTAAAAGCCATTATTTTCTTGCTTATAACAAGCTTTAGCAATTCTGTATTCGTATTTGATTGCTTACATTAATGGAGTGTACACTCAAGCCATAAAATGTCTCCTTGTGATAGCCTCATCTTCACCAAGGATGTTTGCAAATTACATTTTTAAAGGCTTATTATTTAGCCTATCAGATCATTTTGGGACCATGGCAGTCTAGAGATGCATGAAATTAAACATATTCCTTTTATTATAAGAACATTAATAATCAGAATTTATCATTGCATCTGCAACATAATAGTCCTCCCTGAAGGAAGCTGTTGTTAAGTGCCATGGAGTCAGTTCAGACTCCTAGTGACTCTGTATAATAAATATGGCATATGCTCTACATTACATAGAGAAGCTAAAGCAACTAGAAGAAATGATAAAGTAAAAGAGCTGAACAGAAAATTTCAAAGGGAAGCTCATGAAAACTAAGTAAAATGTTATGATGAAATTTGCAAGCACCTGGAATTAGACAACTGAAAGGGAAAAACATGCTCAGCATTCCTCAAGCTGAAAGAACTGAAGGAAAAAATTCAAGCTTCAGTTTTGCAATATGGAAGGATTCTATGCTACTCTGGTAGCACAGTGGTTACAAATCGGGCTGCTAACCTCAGGATCAGCAGTTTGAAACTACCAGATGAGGCTTTCTGCTCCCATAAAGATTTACAGCCTCGGAAACCCTGTACAGTGTCGCTATGAATTGAACCGACTCCATGGCACATAACAACAACAACAACAAAAAAACCCCAAATGGACAAAATATTGAATGGTGCAGGAAGATAGAAAGAATACACGCAGTCACTCTACCAAAAAGAATGGTTGCTGTTCAGCCAATTCATGAGATAGTGTATGATCAGGACCCTATGGTGTTTATAAAAGAAGTCCAAACTGCACTGAAGGTGTTTGAGAAAAACAAGGCTCCAGGAATTGATGGAATACAAATTGAAAAGTGTTTCAACAAACTGATGTAGCACTGGAGGAGCTCATTTGTTGACGCCAAGAAATTTGGAAGACAGCTCCCTGGCCAACCAACTAAAAGAGCTCCATATTTGTGCCCATTCCGTAAAAAGGTGACCTAACAAAATGCTGAAATCATCAAACAATATCATTAATACCACATGCAAGTAAAATTTTACTGACGATAATTTAAAAAAAACGGTTGCAGCAGTACATGGGCAGAGAGCTGTCAGAAATTCAAGCCAGATTTAGGAGAGGACATGGAACGAGGGACATTATTGCTGACGTCAGATGGATCTCGGCTAAAACAGAATACCCAAAAGATGTTTACTTGTGCTTTATTGACTATACAAAGGTATTCGACT